CACACCTGTCAGAGCTATGGTGCCAGCTCTCCACAGACCTGGCTTTACACTTAGGTGATTCAGCTCTCAGGAGGGATGCCTGTGCCCTGTGAGGGCAGTAGAACGCCATACCATTGTTCTTTGCCACCTTCCGCCCCGCCCCCAACACAAGACAACAAAACATGACTGAGTGGGGGTAGTGCACTCCAAAACAAGGACACAAGTGGTTAACAGGCCACCTGAGAGGGTTTGAGCCAATGAGCAGAATTTGGAGGGGGAACAAAAGAACCTGGAGCTGCCCCAGATGGACTTCAGCAGCACAGAAAGATGCTGAAGCCCAGGGTTGTGCGAAGTCAGAACTAAGAGCTGCTTGAAGGAGAGCCAGCTGCTGTACTGGTGATTGTGCCCACATGGGTCCCCTTTTTGCAGAGCCAGACCCACCCTTTTGAGCTCTCAGCGCACCTTAATGTCTGACTGCGTGGACAGGTTGGACTGACCCCGGGGTGGGGGGTTGCATTGATGTGGGGCAGAAAGTCTGTGTGTTTCTTGCTAGGTTAGAGGTCAGGGCTGTGGGGTGTATGTTGTGCTGGAGCTGTAATGTCTGCTAGAAATTCTACCCTGGATTTACTCCTGACTTTGCCTGGGTTAGATAAGTGTTCTGTTATTGTGTGGTACCTTTTACAGGGGTTAACTCTGACCCCTAGGAGGAGGGTTGGTGTTTGTGCAGAGGCATATGGCTAGGACCGTTTCCCCAAACCGGGGAATCCCACACCTGACATGCTGGTATGTATTGCTGCCAAGTAGACCTAGTTCCTGTTCTCTCTAAAGCAAAATCCTCCAGATACAAGACAGAGTCACCAGTTTGAAATTAATTCCCAGCGAGTGGGGGCAGATGGCTGGGGCCAGGGTCTGTGTGAGGGAGTCTCCCCACCAGTGAATGAGGGGAACTGGGTTAGGGATTATCCCCCAAGGACTGGGTGGGAGGGGGTCAGGCCAGGCCAGGCCAGAGTCTGTGAGGGAATCACCTCCCAAAGACTGAAGGGAGATAGGGACAGGATCTGTGCGGGGAGTCCTGGACAACTAAGTTCCCCCTGGCTGTGCACTTCCTGTTCCTCACAAGTTGAGTAGGGGTGCCAACTTTCTAGTCACACAAAACAAACACCCTGAGGCCCTGACCCCCGCTCGCTCTCCCCCACACTCACTCACTTTCATCAGGCTAGGGCAGGGGATTGGGCTCTAGGTGGGGCCAGAAATGATGGGTTCAAGGTGTGGGAGAGGGCTCCAGGCTGGGGCAGGGAGTTGGGGTCTCCGGGAGTGAGGACCCCGGATAGGGATGTGGGCTCTGGGGTGGGGCTGGGGCTGAGGGGTTTGGAGTGCAGGAGGGGATGTGGGCTCCGGGGTGGGGCTGGGGATGAGGGGTTTGGAGTACAGGAGGAGGCTCAGGGCTGGGGCAGAGGGTTGGGGAGGTCCAGGTTGTGGGCTATGGGAGGAAGTTTGGGTGCAGGAGGGACTCCAGGCTGGGGCAGGGGTTTGGGATGCAAGAGGGGATTCCAGGCATGGGGTCCCAGCAGCGCTTACCATAGCTCCCAGGAAGTGGCCTCCTGGTCCTTGTGACCGCTAGGTGTATGGGAGGCCAGGGAGGCTCTGCATCCTGCCTTCGTGCCTGCAGACACCGGCCCCCAGCTCCCATTGGTCGCAGTTCCCAACCAATGGGATGCGCAGAGTCTGGGTGAGCAGGTAGCCTGCCTTAGCCCCAGGCCCCCACTGTGCCACCGACCAGACTTCTAATGGCCCAGTCAGTAGTGCCGACTGGAATTGCCAGGGTCCCATTTTGACCGGGTGTTCCGGTCAAAAAATGGACACCTGGCAACCCTAAGGTTGAGGTGGGGCCGGTGTCCCTACAGAGGTTGTTGGGAAGGCTGTGAGCTGTGGCCATGTTGCTGAGGTTGCTGGCCATGCTATATAGAGGCTGGCTGTGGGAGCAGGTTTTTTTTTTTTGGAGAGGAGCATTGGTCAGTTTCTCACACACAAAGATTGTAGTGAAGGTCATGAAGTAGATGCGGGGATGAGGATCTACTGGGCAACCACTAGGGTTGGGGGCTACTTTATTGTAGGGTTGGGAGTGGCCCCTGGACCCTTTCTCCTGGCTCTCTGGAGTGTCATTGGACCCCAGACACTTTCTTTCGGGGGCTGTTTCTCCCCTCCAAACCCCCTGGCCCTAGCCCCACCCCCAGGGCAGACTGAACCCCTAAACCCCTCAAACCTGGCCCGCACTCCCCACCCCAATTCTCTGCCCTAGCCCTGAGCAGCCTCCCACACCACAATTCCCTCATTCCCCAGCCCCACCCCAGAGCCTACACTCCCAGAAAAAGCTCTTACCCCCCCCCCCCCGCATCCCAACCCTCAGCCCCACCACACATCACCTCCATATTTGTTCACATAATAAAATTAATTCCGCTCATGGACATAAAAAATTAAAGGGAATGCTGCCCAGTCCATACATTACTGCTAAGGGAGTGTGGGGATCCCCATTGGGCCTGTGTCACACTCAACAATGTCTGTTTTCAGTGATGGCTATGGGGTCCCTTCCATTAATTTTTTTTATTCATCTTCTGCTGAGTTCAGCCTTGTCGAGGTTAGGAAAAAGATCATTTTAAAAAATAGATGACAAACTCTATTTTAAATATCATGTAGGCTTTGTCTAGACTAGGATATAAAGGTGTGATATCACTGGCAAATATAACATAGACAAGGCTCCCTACTCTTAAAGCCACTGAAAACTCAGCAAGTTTAGCAGATGTTAAATGCAATGTGTCCTGTTGTCAACATTAGACTCTTTCAGTATGTTAGCTACGCCATGACTAAGAGTTGGTTGAGGAGATCTCTGGCCTGCTGATACTGTCTTTTACTAAACCTTGGAATACCAGGGATATTCCAGAAGAGGGTTAATGTTGTACCTATGGTCAAAAAGGGTGAGCTCAATGACCCAGGTAACGATATGTCAGTTAGCCTGACATCAGTCCTAGCAAAATATGGGATTTAACTGAGAGAATTAAAAGGAGAGAAATATAATTAATGCCAATCAATGTGGCTTTATGGAAAATATGTCCTGTTATACAAACCTGATTCTATTTGAGATGACAAGATAAAGGTAATTGCATAGATTTAGTATACATGATAATATGAAATCACTGCTGATAAAATCTGCAGATGACATAAAGATTGGCAAGTCGTAAATCAGGACAGGGCAACCTCACAACATGATCTGCATCATTTGGTAAATGGCACATTCAAGAAAATGCATTTTAATACAGCCAAATGCCAAATTAGAAATTTAGGAACAAGGAATGCAGGCCATGCTTACAGAATGAATGGGGGCCAATATCCTGGACGGTGGGTGACTCTGAAAAGGATTTAGCGGTTATGGTGGGCAAGCAACTTGATACAAGCTCCCAGTGCAATGCTCTGGCAAAAAAGGGCTAATCCAATGCTTGGATATATAAACGGGAGTTAGTAAGTAGAAATAGGGAAGGGATTTTTACCTCTGTATACAGCACTGATACGACTGGTACTGGAATACTTGAATATAGTTCTGGTGTCAATATTTTATAAAGGATTGAGCAATTGGAGTGTAGAAAAGCCACAAAAATGGTCTGAGGGCTGGAGAAACTGATTTATGTAAGTTCTCACTGCAAGGCAATCTGAGTTAAATAGTTAATACAAAAGATTGAGGTGACTTGATTATTCTGTAGCAGTTCTTGTGCTGGGAGAAAATACCAGGTGCTAAAGAGCTCTTTAATCTAGTGGAGAAAGGCATAATAAAAACCAACAGCTGGAAGCTAAAACCAGAGAAACTCAAATTAGAAATAACAATAATAATACAAATAACAGATTTGTAAGGGATGGTGTTTAACCATGGAAACAAAATGCCAAGGGAAGTGGTGGATTCTCCATATCTCGATGTCTTCAAATCAAGACAGGATGCCTTTCTGGATGTTATGCTGTAGCCATACACAAAATATTGGGCTCAATACAGGGGGTAAGGGAGTGAAATTTAACCTCCTGTGATATACAGGAGGCCAGACTGGATGATCAAATGATGTCTTCTGGTCTTAAATTCTTTGTTTAAAAGTGTATTTTAACAAGTGTTAAAAGGAAACAGAAGCTTTTATGCCACAACTAAAATGAGTTATGCCAAAATGCTGCTGTGATTCACCATTGTTGGCCCATATCTACACCCACCATAACTGTCCAGTTATTGACTTTGAATGTGGACACTGACCTATTGACACTCCTCATGCGAAGGCAAAGACACATTTGGCCTGTCATAAATATTGACTTTGTACACACTTTACAATGCTGCGTACACATTGGGGAATAACACTAATATTGTATATTAATTAAATTAAATTTCCTTCTAATTTAATATATATATTAGAAATATGATGCCTTCATAAAATCAACATGATTTCACTTTCAATGAGACTTTAAAAGGAGGGTAACACGAAGGGAAACAAATTCACATAAATACTTGATAGACCAGATCTGAGGCACCTACAGATATACATTCCAAATAAATGCTCTTACTGAGGGAGATTAGCTTTGAAATCCCTAATTATGTCTCACAATGCTGCTGCATGTTCTATTAACTTGACTTTATCATTGATAAACCTTAACCCAATCCACAAAAAATGCAGGGTGTTGTCCATTTTGTGAATTGTTCACTTCTAAAAATAAACCAACTCAGGAAGATGCGACTTTAGTCATTGCTTTCTATACCCCTCTCCCAGAGGCTGCTTCCCTATCCTCCCCTTCTGGTGTTAAAGATTGTAAATCATTATCTCTGTGCTCATTCTCTATCATGAACTAGGTTGAAACTAGGTTTCCTTTCTCTTCCCCCTCTCCTCCCCTCTTTCACAGCTCCATTAATACCTGACTCTCTGCCACTGTTGATCAGCTGTTCTCTTCAGCTGATATGCTGTGATGGAGCCAGAGAGAATTCTGTAAACATGAGAAGAAAAACTTTAGGACTAACACAAATTGGTTCAGCTTTACTTCTCTTGCAGACACCTACTTTCACTATCAACTTTCTCTCTAGAGTCTTGTCTTCCCTAGGGAAAAAGTGTTCTTAACTTGTTAGCTAACTTGAATTAATAAACTTCTGCCAGGAGAGCCTTGTTGAACCTGTGAAGAACAAGTCACTTTATACCTCTGCTATCCTCCTATGCTACAGTTGGGTGTGCAGAGCCTGTTCCCCATATGGTAGGCCCAGATTTGGTTTGGGGAGTCTGTATCTCCATGCTCCTTTTCCTTCCTGGCTCCAGCTGGTACATGTACTCTTTACTGCCCCCCACCTCCTTTCCTTCTTATGTAACCCCTCAAAGTTTACCAGGGGCATGGAGAAATCTGGAAGAAATGGGATTTGGTAGCTGAGTGGTGATGAAGTATGTCCAGATGTGCCACTGGGACATGGGTAGTGGTTGTATGCAGATTCATGGTCATTTGGTGAAGGGGGTTCCTGAGATACAGCACCTCCAAAATGACCTGCTTATAAATTTCATAGTGCTTTAAAATTGACGTGCAAAAGGAAATAGCTTTAAAAATTGGGGTGGAGTTTGTGCTTCAAATTCAGTGTTACTTGATGAAGTTCCCAAAATGCATCCCCATAACTACTTTTTAATTTTAAAAATGTGCTAAAATCCACATGGATAGCTAAATTGTCTTGAATGTTATCCTGGAACAGGGGCAGGGATATATTTTGGTGAAAATTTGGGATCATCTGGCCCAAGGTACAGATACATCCCCCTAACAAAGAGCTCATTTTAATACTTGATTTAAAGCCCATCTGCATAAGGAGATTGGTTTTTAAAATTGGTATGCTACAACAGTGGCTGGGCTAGGATACCTTTTATGGGGGTAAGGGAAGAACGCTCATTGCAGAGGTGCAGAATGACTCCTCCATCTCAGTCCTCATATGCTGCAGAAAATTATGCAGAGCCCCTTCTCCTACACTACCCCTGAAGTGAAGCAGGAAGTCTGGAGCTCCCCCTCTCCCATTTACTGCTGGTAAACATGCTCCTCCCAGCCCATTTCATACCATTTTCCTTCTTCCTTAGATCCTCTCTAGCCCTACTTTGGAGCTGGTAGTGGAGGGGCAGTGGTGTCTTCCCAGGAAGACACTTCATTCCTACCACCATAGGTACTTCAGTCATGCCCTCAGATTACCACCACTTTTCTCGGAAAATGGTTTATAAGGCTAATTTTGTTGAACTTCAAATGACACTGGTTTACTGTATCTAATACGTAACTAAAAGTAAACCAGTAGTGAGATGTTCACTGCATATGTCTTCATCTTGCTGGGTTTGGAATTAGCAGGAAATAAATTGAAAATTAACTATAATTTGAAAAAAGGTGGGGAAACAGAACAAAAGTAAAACTTGAAAGTAGCCACTGTTATCTTTACTAGCCCAGTGACCATCTTTGTCCACCTGACTCTATATGTAAATGGCTTGAATTAAGGTCTTGAGTATGGCAGCAGTAAATTTCTTTTCCTTCTAAATCTATATTGGTTAATAAAACATAATGCTTTCATTATCATTGCAGTGCCATTAATTTGACCTCTTGCATTTGGATAAGCTCATGGATAATCGGTACTTTCTCCTCAGTCAGGATTAAGTCCGGCTTCTGATTTTGCACCTGCTTGTCACTGTGGGTGAAAGAGCAGAGGTTGGTTTTGAAGGTGTAGGCTAAAGTGGTGTAACCATTGACTACAGTAAGAGTACCATTTCTGGCATTGGTTATATTTAACATTACTGTTTCCTTCAACAGAAATTCTATGCTGGAGAATCAGCCTCAGAAGCACTATGGAATAACATCTCCAATTAGCTTGACTCCTCCTAAGGAAATAGATTATATTTACACTCAGAAATTAATTGAAGCCATGAAGCCATTTGGAGTATTTGAAGATGAGGAAGAACTAAATCACAGGTATAACTTTTAATATAATTGAAACACATTGCTTGAATATATTTTAAAACTAAGTCTAATGATAATTCTCATTACAGGCTGATTGTTCTTGGTAAATTGAATAAATTAGTCAAAGAATGGATTTCAGAACTCAGTGAGAGTAAGGTAAACCATTTTTAAAATTCCAATTCAAGTAATTCTCAATCTTGTATTTTGGATTCTGTCCTCTGACTTTCTGCAAAGGAATAATAAATTTTCCATCTACATATTGGGCAATAGACTTGTAGCAACTGTCACTCAAGTTAAGGTTTGGAAGATTTTAACTACCTAGATCCTTAAACCTTGTTGTAGCAATTAAGTGAATTGGCCGTAAATAAATCAGTGTTTAGCAATACAAATTAGAACCAGATAACTTTTATCTAATGAGTGTAGGGCCTGGCAAAATTAGATTATTTTTTTTAACTTCCATGATCTTATCAATGTGCTAGAGATTTTTTTTTTCTAGTAACTATTTTTATTTTTACGGTTACAGGGGGTAGGGTGAGGGTAGTTCTGACAGCAGGGCTGCAGGGGGCTCCTGGTGTGGCCAAAGGTCCATAGCCACCGGGGCACAAGATTTGGGGGTGGGTGCAGTCATCTTGGCTCGGAAGAGCAGAGGCCCCCTCCTTCCAGGACTGTAAAGAAGAGGAAGAGCCTCAGTTGTGGGTGAGGCCACCCTGCTGCTCAACAGTTCCTGCCTGGGGATAGCTCCTACGCTCCTGGCTGGTGAGTAGGCGAGCAGGGCAGTGACAGCAGAGCTGCATAGGGCTCCCGGGATGGCCACAGAGCTGGTGACGCTGGATCCCTGGTAGGCTGGGATCCGGGTGGGTCAGTGCAGAGAAACCCTGGCCAGGGCTGAGAGGAGTCATCATCCCTAGCCAAGGAGGAGGCCACCTGCTGCTAAATGGCTCCTTCCCAGGGATGGCTCCTCCTCCTCGCCCTGGTTGGGGGCTCTACTCAGCCAGGCCAGGACCGCAGCCTTTCTTCACCTTGTTCCTGCGGAGATTCGGTGTCACTGGCCCCACTCAGTCCCTGCCAGCAGTGAGGAAGTTGTCTCTGGGCAGGAAGTATTAAGCAGCAAGGTGGCCGCTACCACCGCTTCCTCCTTGCAGACCTGAACAGGGGGTTCTGCTCTGCCCTGCCAAAACCACAGCCAGCCTGCCTCCGTCCCCCCCACCCCACCCTAGTGCCTGCAAGGATCAGGTGCCGCTAGTCCTGAGGCAGTGCAGGGAGCCCTCTGCAGCACTGCTGTCACAGACCCACTTGCTCCAGTAACAGCAAGGCTGCAGAGGGCTCCCTGCATGGCTGCAAGACCAGTGACACCTGATCCCAGCAGGCATGCCCACTGTTAGGACTGATAGTTTTTCGTCAATTTCAGCATCAATCGAAATTGACATTTGTTGACAGTTATTAATTAAAATGTAATCCTGCAGAGCCTCTCAATAAAGCAGAGAGTGACAGTCGAGCCTTGATCAAAGTTTTAAAAGTATTTCAGTCTGGCAGTGAAATAGCTATTTATAGCTCATCAGTTATGATCCAGTTTATATCCTATACTGGCTGTATTTAATTTATTACATGGCTCTTCAAATTCACATAAATGGAAGTATCTTTTACCTACACTGCAGATGTTACTTTTATAGTAATAAATGCTTCCATTGTATTTTTGTAAATCCACCAGGAAATGATTGCCACCATGATTTCATATTGCTGTTACTTCAGTTGGCTAGAGAAGATTGTTAAGAAATGGGTAACAAAAGTTCTTACTCCAGTGACAACCTTTTGTACCTGAGCAATCAGTGTGTTGCTGTTCATCAAGGCAGCCTAAGCTAATGTCCCCACATACAGCAATTTTTATTTTTGTTTAGAAATTGCTGAGATCTTCTTCTCAATTATTTCACCCGTAGTAACTGCACTTTATCTGTTGAAATCTTACTAACTGCCAAAACAAGCCAACTTAAGCTCTTTCATAGTGCTAATATAGCTTGTAGGGCTCTAGACCTTGGGAACCAAGAGCTGTATTTTAAACTTGTATTTCTGCTCTATTTATAGAACCTCCCACCTTCAGTTGTAGCAAATGTTGGTGGGAAAATATTCACATTTGGGTCCTATAGGCTTGGAGTACACACCAAAGGTATGTCCTTTTTAATAGTGTCTAGTCATATAGTGTTTCAGACTAACTGCTTGATTAACTGAAGATGTATGGGATATTTTTGCAGGTGCTGACATAGATGCTCTTTGTGTTGCTCCTAGACATGTGGAAAGATCAGATTTCTTTCAGTCATTCTTTGAAAAGCTAAAGGTTCAAGATGGAATCAGGAATTTAAGAGTAAGTTTTCTACTTGTATTCAGAGTAATAAACTTGTCCATGTTAAAGGGACACTGTCAACTAAACTCTTAAACTGACCAATTTTGCAAAATTACTGTTGCTGACAGCAGTCTTCAAATAGTATTGTACACCCAACTCTGTTAAAACACTAAGGTTGCAAAGTCAAGCACTCTAGGTAGGAAATATCAGAATCAAAGTTGCCTGTGCAACTTCAATCAACCCCTTTGTATATATGCATTATGATAGTGGTTAATATTCTTTCTACAAATTACACACTAATTTTGTGTGCCCAATTTGAGAGACCCTGAGAAAAAGCATGTCCCAAGTGGTTAGTATTATACTGCACTTAACATGTTTAAATCACAGCGCCCATTGATTTCACTTGCAGTTGAATGCTCAGCATTTCTGCAAAATCAAGCACAAAGGTCTAAAGTTGGGCATCCAGACAATGAGAAATGCACACATTTAGTGAAATTTTTGGTTTTAAGTGACTTGCCTAGATTACATAGGAACTGTGCAGCAGAGGCAGGGATAAAATTCAGTTATCCTGGGCAGCATTCAGCTGATCTAACCAGGAAACCATCCTTTCTCTTCCTACAGTCCCCTGCCTCATTCGCTACATGCCTTGCAGCTTCTGCAACACGCGACAGGAGTCCTATAGGAACAGCCTCCTTTAATATACATCCCCAATTAATCCTCAGCGCATATCCATCCTGTGCATTGAATGAGGCAAGGGTCCTGCAGAAAAAACTAATTAAAACTGTATCATCATGCAGGCACACAAGGGGGTCAAATGAAGGTTGAACAGTCAACCTTCATTTTGGCATTTCCTAAATTCTGAATGCTTGATTTTAAGAGCATTAAGGTTGCAAAGTCGTTTTTTGTAACTTCCCATAATAATAATAAAAGGCAAACTGAAAAAACAAACTCCCTCATGTTGCATTATACTGATACCTACAGGGGTCATCAGCAGGGCTGGAACATTTAAACCTGCCACACAGATTTTGCCCACTTGAACTAACTGGGTAACTGATACTGTAACCATTATGGAATAAAACTAAACTGAAGCATGTGAAAAAAGGCTGGTGTGTCTTTCTCCTCTTCCCACTATCCCCAACAACATATAATATACCCTGAATCAACAGCTCAGATGTGTGAACTACTCCATTCATTTCAGTAGGTGTTCACCCCTCTCCCCAAGCCTGTGATAGGCATGAAGCTGGCTGGTTCTCGGATCATCCCAGTCTCAGCAGTGTTCTTGGTGCAAGCTCCCACTATGCTTGTTCTCCGTTCTCCACCCAGAGGGACATGGCTTCCTCATATGACAGCTTGGGGGAGGAGGCGAGAGAAGGGGAAATCTGGTAACCCCCCTTTTCCCAGATCTGAAACGGGAGTTGGACACGGGCAGGAAAAGGGATTTAGACACCCACATGGGGCAGGTGTCTCCTACATCCTGGCACATATATGGGAAAGGAGAATATGGGACTGACAAGCACCCCGCTCCTAATTCCTTCCTGTAGTCTCACCACCCACCTCCATGTCATCCCTCACCTTGCAACTCCCCTTACACCTGCTCCTCATCCTGAGTCCCACAACCCTTCTCCCCTGCCATCCCTCCCCATGTATCTTCCTCCCCTCCCAAGAAGCATTTCCTTGTGTAATATTATTTTCTTTTCAAAGATAGTTTGAGTGCACTCAGAATACATGTTCCCAAAATTTAAAAAAAAAATCCTTTGACAGAGGCAGATTTTTAGAAACCTGCTTACATTTTTGTCCTGATTTATTTATATTTTTGTCCAATGGCCAGATTAGAAGTTACTGTGCTCGGTGTTGTTCAGGTTCAGTGGTAGTAATATGTACCTTTGAGCTGCTCAGGTCCTGTACTTCATGGCTGGCTAGCAAGCCTTTTGGGCTCTCTTTCTGCGCGCGCGCGCGCACACACACACACACACACACACACACTGTAAACAGTTGACACATGAGCATTAGGCATGTACATCTCTAGAGAGCTAAGCTTCCTGGGAAATACTATTCAGTTTCGCTCCCCCAAAGGTTTAGTGGGTGCCTTGCACTAGCTGGAGTAAATGTCAAGCAACTGAGAGCATTTTGCACATGATCAGAGCCATGGCTTGATTCCCAAGTCTGTGCAAAGAAGTTGACTGACTGGCAACCTTAAAACAAGCTTTTTTTGGGAGGTGGGGGTAGGATGAAAGCTGTCTCTTAAGAAAATGACCCTAAACTTGGTTCAGTAACTCTGCCCAGTGCCCCCCCTGAGTTAATCCTAGTTTCAGTATCTAGCAATTGGTGGAAACCATAAGAGAGAACAGAATTATCAGACACATAGATAAACGCGATATATTGGGGAAGACTTTGTAATGATCTTGGGGTTCATTAAATAACAAACCAATCAACAAGAAAGGAATAAAACTTTAATAAAACAAACTGGAGAGCTTCTGTAGTGCGCTGCTGCACACAGCCAATTTGATGTTCCCAATGCCTGCCTCCAGGGTACATCTCCAAATTCCTATGCTCATAATACCCCTTATGAGGGAGCATCTCTAAATTATACTCTTCTACAAACATATCCTTACAGACTCAACATGGCTTTTGTAAAGGGAAGTCATGTCTTGCCAATCTATTAGAATTCTTTGAGGGTGTCAACAAGCATGTGTATGAGGGTGAACCAGTGGATGATAAAAGAACAGGAGTACTTGTGGCACCTTAGAGACTAACAAATTTATTAGAGCATAAGCTTTCATGGACTACAGCCCACTTCTTCAGATGCATATAGAGTGGAATAAATATTGAGGATATATATATATAGAGAGAGACACACATACAGAGAGCATAAACAGGTGGGAGTTGTCTTACCAACTCTGAGAGGCCAATTAAGTAAGAAGGGGGAAAAAAACTTTTGAAGTGATAATTAAGATAG